ATATATATATATATATATATTGGCGTTGATATGTTCATACCACTCAGTGAGTCAGTTGTTTACTCGTGTTGCTCGTTACTTGCACACCAGGATAAATGGAGAAATTTAGGCCCAAGTATCTCTAGTCGTGGCTCTAAAGAGAAAACAAGGGATCCTAAGATAGTGAACATTCGAAGTTCTTCGATTCGTGAAAATGCATCTCCTCATGCTGCCATGGATGATCCTTCAAACAGCACACTGGACGGGAAAAGTGCTTCACGGTGTGTGTGTGTTTAAAATTATGTTCCGGAAGCGTTTACACAAGTTATAGGGTTTATCTTCATGAACAGTAGGTCAAACTCCATTTTGGTCTCTATCTTTTAAAACGTCACGTTGGGGATGAGTATTAAGAAGAAAGTTGTAACTTTTGTTGTTAAATTTTTTGCAATCAGATGGAAAATTTGGGACATTGGGTCTATTGGAATCATACTAAAATGGAATGTGGCCTATACTTAGGGACTAAATATTAGTTTAATCATAAATTATAAGGCTATGAGACTGACTATGATTTATCTGGTTTTACTGTTTTGTATTTGTTCATGTGGATATTTATCGTACTTATGTATTTAGCAGGTATAATGCAATGATCTTTGAGGCTCTTTCAACAATGAAAGACGTGAATGGATCTGATTTTGTTGGCATTCTTAACTTTATTAAGGTCAGGTGGAGGTCTCTTGTTATTTATTTAATAAATCCAACTAGCTATGCTCTGATGTTCCTACCACGTTTGGAAAACCGTGCTGTCGATATTGTTCTAAAATACATACTGGGATCTGACAAAATCTAAAAAGCATAGGAACTCCAAAAGACTCTATTTTAAAGGATGTGGGAATGCAATAATTTGAACCTTTTGACCATGATGAAATTTTAATTGTGTCATTTGAATCGCAAGCTTAATTAACCTTAACTTTTGAACTTTTTAGGGGATTTATAATATGATTGACATTGTTCTCTCTGTTTTAAGTCCTAGCTCAATTACCTCAAGTTCAAGTCCAGATAATAATTTAGTTTCTTGGTCTTTATTACTTTCTTTAAGCAGAATACAAAACACCTATGTAGAATTATTGTGTCTGATTAAGTCAAGAACTTATAAGCTATCAAATTTAGTTGTAATCCCTTTATTTTGAATCAACAATGTCATCCTCGTCTTGCCATCTTTATCTCATCGAAGTTTTGAAGAGATGTTGATTAGCTTCATATACTGCTATAGCAAAGGCATGACATGGCCCTTCCACCAAATTTCAGAAGATTAATGAGTACAAGGCTGAGAAGGCTTGTTTTGCAAGGCAAAGTTGAAAAGGTGAGTGATTCTTTTGATTACTCTTACAATTTTTTTTTTTTCATTCACGTATTAGATAACCTATAAAGTTTGTCAGCCCCAATGAAATAGCAACACTGCGAGTAGATTCTTACTTTCTCCGTTCTTTCGAATGCAGGTAAAAAATGGCTACAAACTAAAGAAAGAGGCTCTGTTGGGGAGTAAAACACCTACCCCAAAACAAGAAGACATCAGACCTCAACAACTGCAGAATTTTGTGTTAACAACTTCCGTTAAAAAGCTGAAGGAAATTTCTGATACTGCTGCATATAAAGTAGCTGATGCCGAAAACAAATCATTTTTGGCTGCTGAAGCAATGAAGGAAGCTGAAAGAATCTTAAAGATGGCAGAAGAAACCGAGTCGATCCTACACCTAGTGATAGAGATACAAGAACGATGTAATAACAAAAACATCTGTACTTTTCCACTTTCAGTCTTTGCCCAGTATTCTACTATCTTGGTATATATGATCTATCTTCTGTTTTTTGGGGTTTGATTGTTGCAGGTTCACGGGGAGAAACCGTCCTTTTGACTTAGATGGTCAAACTGTAAGTTAAATTAACGGAATCCTTGTAGCTTGTAGAATATGCTTGTAAATTCACTGATCCACTAGGACAAGTTTTGTTCTCCTTGTCGGGCAAAAATGCATTAGCATTTCCTTTTTCTGCAGTAGAAGCCATGTTTGAGATCATGGATAGATCAGGTTAATGTACCCAAAAAAAAAAAAAAAAAAAAAAAACACAAGTTTCTGTGTCACTTAGCTTCAAATATATCCTACTGGTTTTGACTTTTGGGAGGTTAATGAAGCAGTTTTACGTATTTTATACACAGATGAGTTAATATGGTTGTGAGTTCCTTGTATTCATTTCATTTTTGTGACATGAAACTTTGGTCACCTACGTGGTCTCATGCTAATATGGTATCGTTCCCTTTTTTCTTTTGGCTGAAATATATAGCATCTTTCCTTGATGTGCTAATACTGTACTCTGTCATCATTTTTTAGTCCATACTTTTAACTAGTACGAGTTATCCTGTAAGCAATTAAACTACAGGACACAACCAGAACGAAAAGAAAGTAGAAAATTCTTCATTTATGAGTTTTTGTTCTCTTCTACTAATTCCTTAGCAAACAAAAGAATAGAAAAGAACATCCAAATGCCAATTCTTTTTTTGAAAAAAAAAAAAGGAGCAAAAGTTTCTAGCATAAACAAGAATTGGTAAGGGTCCGCCCGCTACCATGCCTTGTGCCTTAAATTAAACATAAATTCTGTTCGCTTACTATTTCTTTTTGTTTTTCCACAATATTGAAACAAAAGAGCTTTGTACACTATGTTGTCTTCATTTTCTAAGCAAGTATAAAGAAAACTATCTGAATAGAATTGAGAAAAGAGTTGTGTATTGAATGAATGACTAACAGAAAATCTAAACTCTGTAAAACTATTGTAACTACCTATTTATACTGTAACTACCTATTTATACATAAGTCACACAGAGTTATTGAAACTTGTAGAATAAGCTTTACTACAGAAACTTATACTAGAAGCTTTGTAAACATAAACTTATACTAGAAGCTTTGTAAAGCTTGTATAGAAAGCTAAGTCAATATAACTAAAGCTTCTTAACAGCCTCCTCAAACTTAAAGTAGTTAAATCCTCTACTTTAAGTTTGCTTCGTATAAGACCAAACACTGAGCTTGAAATGGCTTTAGTGAAGACATCTGCCAGTTGATCAATAGCTGGTACATGTCGAACTTCTATTTGTTTTCTCATGACCTTCTCTCGAACAAAGTATAGATCCAATTCTATATACTTGGTTCTAGCATGTAGAACTGGGTTGGCTGCTAGATGGATTGTGCTCAGATTATCACACCAGACGACTGGTGTCTTTTGTGGTTGAAAATTTAGTTCACTTAGAAGAGATTGCAGCCAAGATATCTTTGCCACCACACTAGCCAAACTCCGGTACTCAGCCTCTGTAGACGATCTAGACATTGTATGTTGCTTCTTCGACTGCCAGGATACCAAGTTAGAACCAAGAAATATACAAAACCCTGAGGTGGATCTTCTATCATCAGCATCCGATGCCCAATCTGCATCACAAAATGCAACTAGATCTAAGTTTTCTGCAGAACACTGTCTCAAGTGTACACCATAGTCAATTGTGCCAGCTAGGTACCGTAGGATTCTCTTCACTGTTTTCCAATGAGCCTCTAATGGTGTTTTGTTGCGTGATAATTATGCTCGCAAGTGCACGTATCGCTAACAAGTAATAAAGTGTACACAAGTACGGATATCGATCCCACGAGGAATGAATCACCAAAATATGTGTCGGGAGTTGTATATTCAACAAAATAACAAGAAATAAATTCGGCACAAATTTACTAAGATGATGTAATTGAAATGAATGTAAATGAAATGAAATCTGATGGCTAAATGTAACAAGAATGTAATGATGGGATGTAAATTAGTGGTAAAAATGAGCTAGACTTGCTAACTTCCCCTCTACTGCAAGTCTGACTAGAATGTTACCAAGAATGCTGCAGCATTCTACTATCCTGTTAACAGAAACTCGTTGATGCATAAAGTTCTTCCGAATTGATTATGACTGTGGTCCCTCAAGCTATTTTCAACATATTCCTATGTGGATCCAGCTCTCGGATTGCAGATTTAAGCTCAGGTTTCATTAAGTTATGCAAGGTGAATAATATATTCCTATACTATCCACTAATCAAAAACTCAGCAAGCTCATTGAACAAGCATCATTCATGCTAATCCGATTAAAACTAACCCTTCCAGTATTAATCTTAATCTTGTATCCTAAAATTGATGGCCAGTCAAGAATAGAAATAGATATTAGCTCACATGAATGAACAGGAATAGTAGATTAATAGCATCTCAGAAACAACTTGTCATTCTTACAATATTGGTTCCATTAGCAAACCTAGCTACAACAACTTAGTTCATAATGATAGATACAAGATCCAAAGCTCCAGTACAATCCATATCTAGAATTAGTAGCTAAATAACAAAAGATAGTTAAGCTAACAGAAGAAGAACAAGTTCGGCTGGATCTTGGATTCCTCTGTGGCCGGCCAACAATGTCCTTCAACTTCCAGCTCTCTCAGCTTTGTATTCTCCTTCTAGGCTGGAAATCACGTGTTGCTCTGCTTTCCTCAGCTCTCTCTCCCGAAGCTTTTTCCTCTTTGAATAGTGTCTTTTTGTATTTTCTGGTGTCTTCGTACTACCCCTGTGTGTTCACTGTTTTTCAGCAACTGTCTTCTTTTTATATTAATGCCCGATTCTCTCTCTTCCTCTTTTTCTCCCCTTGGCGGCTGCCAACTTGTCCTAAGAGAAACATTCCCTTCTAGGGCAACACAAGGGCTGAGGTGTCACTGCTGATGTGCACAGTGGACCTATTTGACACCTCCTCAGCCAGCTCACACGGATTCCTTTCTGTCTGCATTGTCTAGCTAGTGCGCTGACATCAATCAGCTGCCAGTTAATCCCAGAATGTCGCCCAGAATGCTGCAGCATTTTAGTCCAGCAATTTCCTGCAAGGAACTCACATATAATTAGCCAGTTTTTCACCTATTTTACTTCCAAATTACCAGCTTTCACTTCAAGAGGCGCATCAATACGGAATTAGGCCAAAGTACATGCAACTCTACAAATCTAACTTAAAACAAACAATAAACGAAAACAATCACTCATGGACAAACAATTTTAGGCTATAAAACCAGTGGATAACTCTAAGAAATTCGAGTTATCATGTTTGCATAAATTGGCAAACCTTGCTCACACTATAGGAGATTTCAGGTCTTGTGATTGTCACATACTGTAAAGCACCTACTACACTTATGTATAATTGAACATTACTCACATGATCACTTCCAAAAGAAGTCAGTTTTTGCCCTGTGGTCATGGGGGCTGTGCACTCTTGGCATATTGCATCTTTGTTTTACACAGCAAATCTGTGATGTACTGAGACAAGTGAAGACCTCTAGACGTCCTTGTAACTCGTATTCCAAGGTAATAGTCAATCTTTCTAAGATCTTTGAGAGCAAACTCGGCATTAAGTTTGTTGGTTAATCCTTGGATGGCTGATTCATTACTGCCTGTGACCAATATATCATCCACATAGACTAGGATGTAAAGAGTCCATTGTGATGTAACTTGAATGAAAAGCGATTGATCTGACTTGGCTGAATGGAAACCAAGTTTGAGTAATGCCTGGTGAAGTTTGTCAAACCATGCCCTTGGATGATGTTGATAAACAAAATCGGCAGGTTGGTCCATGTACACTTCCTCCTGTAAATCCCCATTTAAAAATGCATTGTTTACATTAAGTTGCCTCACACTCCATTGCCTACTTAATGCTAGAGTAAGAATGACACGAACAGTGCTAGGTTTGACTACTGGGCTGAATGTTTATGTGAAATCAAATCCCGCCACCTGATGAAACCCTTTAGCAACAAGTAGATTTTCCTTTACTCTAAAAATCCACTTGCAACCAATTACTTTCCTACCAGAAGGTAAAGAAACAAGGCTCCACGTATTATTCCTCTGAAGAGCCAAAAATTCATCTGTCATAGCCTGTTTCCAGTGTGTAGCTGCAAGAGCTTCTTCAACAGTACCAGGCTCTTTTGTTGTCATGTATACTCTCGGTTTAAAAATGCCTCGCTTAGAACGTGTGATCATGGAATGAAGAGGTAATAACTTAGATTGTCTTGAGTGTTCTGTATGTTCCTGACCTGGTACACATGAGTCTTGGTTTGAGACTGAAACAGTGGATGTATGTTCTGGCACAGTGAGAGAAGTTTGATTGTGTAGTGGTATAGAGGGTGAGAGAGAAAACTCAGTCGAAGAAGATTCTGAGGTTGTTATAAGAGGGAGATGTGACTAAGATGATGACAAGGAAGGTAGAACACTGAGTGGAGCAGATGAGAGGAAGTTATTTGGTTCAACAATGTGGATGGTATGACTTGACTAGTTTTGGCAAAAGGGAATGAGAGTTCATCAAAGATAATGTCTTGAGAAACAAAGATTCTTCCATATGGATCCATATACTTACATCCCTTATGCTTGATGCTATAACCAAGAAAAGTACAAGGTGCGGACCTAAACTGCAACTTGTGTCTGTTATAAGGTCTAATATTTGGATAACAAGTGCATCCAAAGACTTTAAGTTGAGAATAGACTGGCTTAGTATGAAACAAAACTTCCAAAGGAGTTTTATTTTGAAGTAATGGTGTTGGCAGCCTGTTTATAAGAAAAATCACAGTACGAAATGCCTCATCCCAATATTTAAAAGGCATAGAGGCTTGAGCAATGAGTGTTAGACCAATTTCAACAATGTGTCTATGTTTGCGCTCAGCAACCCCATTTTGTTCATGAGTATGTGGATAAGGGTGCCTATGTTCTATTCCTTGTTGAATGAGAAGATCTATAAAGGCTTTAAACTCCCCTTCCCAGTCAGTTTGAAGACATTTAATGGGTAAATCAAGATGTTTCTCTACTAACGATTTGAAATTAATGAAGGTTTGTAAAGCTTCAGACTTTGTTCTTAAAAGGTATATCCAAGTGAAACGAGAATAAGCATCAATAAAGTGAATGTAATATCTATATCCACTGGAAGAAATAGTAAGTGAGGGACCCCATAAATCAGAATGAACAAGCTGTAAAGGTTTATGGTAAGTAGTTTGAGAAAGAGAGAGAGGCAGTATGTGAATTTTACCCAAACAACAAGACTTGCAAGTAGAGAATGAAGTTTTATTGATGTTGGAGAAATTACAATTATTCAACACAAGCTGTACAACTTTATCAGCT